CATGCTCATGCAGTCCCTGGGAAGCAATGTTGCTGGGTAAAATAGTAGATTTAGGGTAAATTTTGCCAACAAGTTTCCAAGTTTCATTTGCTTACAGTAATCTGGTTGCTACCATGTGACTGATGAAGCTACTGTAGCTTCCTTACATGTCTGGCTTCTAGGATTAGTTGGATTAGCTGCCAGCTAAAGATTATCCCTCTTATGAGCTCCTCCATGCTTTTTCTCATGGTGACATGGTTCTAAAAAATAGCAAGAGAGAGGAAACCCATTGTAGAAATACTTTGCAAGCCTCTGCTTGCATTAGCATTTGCTAACATCTCATGAGACATGTCGGGTAGTATAGTCAAACCCAGAGTCATTCGGAGAACTATCCACAAAAAGATACAGAAAGACTTGATTTAGTGGAGGATCTTAAGGGGAGCTGTATACCATAAAAATATTTAACCATCAAGGTAATAGATTAAACTATTTCTGGTTCAAGGTAATAGATTGAACTGTTTGTATTCATGGTACATTTGAATGCACAGTGTTCTAGAAGCCTTCAAAACAGGGAATGACTTCCCTGGCACCACTAAGCTCAATTATCCAAAACTTATGATTTTTTTAATTTTTAATTTTATTTTATTTGTGTATGCAAGAGACAGATTTGAGAGTGAGAATGAGAGAGACAAGAAGAGAAGGAGAAAGAGAGAACCCATTTGGTGGTTTATTCTCCTTATTCCTACAATGGCTGGGGCTGGGCGAGGTTAAACTCTGGGAATGCAGTCCAGATTCATAGAGTACACATGGATGGCAGGAACTCAACTGCATGAACTGTTTACCTGCTGCCTCCCAGCATCTACACCAGCAGGAGACAGACTAGAAATAGAACCCAGACACTCCAATGGAGGACATGGCACTTTAACCAGCACAGACTAAATATCTGATCCCCTTTTTTATTGAAGAATGAAATGTCAAATATAAATTATTCTCAGATGTTTGTGGATCATCTGCTCTTCTACTTAATGGATGAATAGCTTGGGGAATTTCTGGGCCTGCAACTCTCTGTTGTCTCTGAATGGGAGCCCCAGAGATTGAGTCTTTTGTAAAAGGCTTGAGACTCTCAAAGACTAATGGAGGTTAACTAGAGTAGATGCCCTGATCCCCATTTACTAAAAATAGGATGGAATTATGCAAGTATGTACATAAGCTAATCATCTGACCTCATCAGCATTGCAGATTTTAGAAAGCCTTTCTAATTACTTTCTCAGCTTGGCTGAAGGTATGGATAAAAAGATTTTCCCAGCATGCTGGCAGCAGATGTATTCATAATATTTATTGAAAATATTGGAAAGAATTCCTCAATTATTATGCTCCTGAAAAAGCACATGAGAAAGGATATCATATTTAACATAATTTAAACTTTCATCAATAGATAAACATAACCATTTAAATAATCATACAGCAACTCTCACGAGTTACTTGGAATCTTGCATGCAGTTAGACTCTAAAGTACAGAGCCCGATTGCTTGTTGTTCAACTGCCTGTATCATCATTGAATTGTATTGCTGACCTATGGAAGCACCAGTTGTCTTGGGTGTAATGGTTCCTTCACAATATTATCTTTTCTTTGGCTATTTGATAATTTGCTATTTTGGCAAAAGGCATCTAGAGCATGAGGTTTCAACAGCTTTAAATTGTTGACATTCATAGGCGTATGTAACATCACACAATATGTGATTTGGAAGCCTAGCTATATCTGATATTCATTTTCTTGGCTGCTTTTGAGTAGTTATGAACGTCTGTTAAATGAATCATTCCAGCATAGGCTATCTCTAAAAGAAACTATGAATTCCTGGCTAGGCTGGCTATGTCAGCTTAGGTCTTCTGCTGCTTGCATACTCGTTATTTGTCCTTAACTTCTGTTCCATGATCAAGCTGCTTAACATCTACCCAAATGGGCTGCAGGTACAAAAATTATCGCCCAAAATTGTATTTCCTAGGAGTGATGTGGTAGTGATGTTAACACCTTACTTTTTGTTAAGTACAGGAGGTCTTCACAAAGTTCATGGGAAACATATTATCTTTTTAAATTTCACTTTGCTTCTGATTTTCTGTTTTTTAACATTTTTTTTAATTGGAAAGGCAAATTTAGAGAGAGAAGAAGGAGATACAGAGAGAGAGAGAGATCTGTGCACTGGTTCATTCCCCAAATGTCAGCAACAGCCAGAGCTCAGCCAATCCAAAGCCAGAAGCCAGGCGCTTCTGCGTCTCCCACATGCGTGCAGGGCCCCAAGGCTTTGCTCAATCTTCCACTGCTTTCTCAGGCCACAAGCAGGGAGCTGGATGGGAATTGGAGCAGCCAGGATTAGAACCAGTGCCATGTGAACTCCCAGCACATTTAAGGCAAGGATTTAACCACTGAGTCATAGCACCAGGGCTAGTTGTTCTGTTGTTAAAGTACTTTTGTATACTGTAGGATGTTCACACAACTATGAAATTGCCTGATGATGCATTTCTCAGGATTCTTCCCTGGGGCTAAGCAAAGAACAAGAATTCACTGCTTGTAATACGGATCAACTTAGCCAGTTTCTTTTGTAGGTAGTCAAAATCCTACTTTTTAAATATTTTCTTCAAAGACTTTATCTATCTATCTATCTATCTATCTATCTATCTATCTATCTATCTATCTATCTATCTATCCATCCATCCATCTAAAAGACAGGTTTTACAAAGAGAGGAGGAGATATAGAGAAGATCTTTCATCTGTTGGTTCACTTCTTAAATGGGCCAGGGAAGAGCTGATCCAAAGCCAGGAGCCAGGCCCTAGAGCTGGGTTTTTTGTTTTGTTGTTGTTTTGTCTCCCACATCAGTGCAGGGTCCCAAGGACTGCACCATCCTCTACTGCTTTCCCAGGACATAAACAGAGCTGAATTTGAAGTGGAACAGTCCAGACATGAACAGGTCCCCATGTAGGATGCTGGCCCCACAGGGCTGAGGATTAACCTGATGTACCACCACGCCAGCCCCCAGAATCACTCTGGAATGATAGGATGCCTTCCTTGCCACTGAAGTGACTGAATGGATCAACTCTTATCATTGGGATCTGATGGCTTTGCTCTGCACAGCTTCAGCAACAACTCTTTGCAGCGTATCTTCTCTGGAGATGTAGCACAAAGCTGTTTCTGAATGTTGCCTCATATTCCTGACCTTTGGAAAAGTGATTTCTGTATTTAAATGAGTTGTAAATGTGGATTCACACAACACTGAGCTGTTTCATTGGACCACAGGCCAGAAAATATTCATGATCCAATGTATGGCTTAATTTCTTTGTTAGTGATGCTAAAATGAGGACATAGCTCTGCGTTTAAAAGTCACAAGGTGAAACACCTTGTATGTTCTAAATGTCTCTAGATCAGTTTCTCATCCTGGGCATAACTGACAGTTTTAGACTGGTGAATTTTGTTGTGTGGCACCTCCTATCTTGTGTTATGGCAAAACCTTTGACTTCTTCCTAGTAGATGCCAGTAATATCTTACCTTACCCAGACCTCTACCTGCCACCTTTACATGTGACAAACCAATATGGCTAATGTTACCAAAATCTTTTTGGGAGGCAGATTTGGTTTTGGTTGATGACTACCAATTTAATTATCTTCTGTTTTACTCACCCAAAGTTTGCCAAGCCCTTCCATTATGCACAACACATTTTGGTTTACTTATATGTACATATCTGTATGTCTTACCCTAGTGCACATCAAATTTAACAGATACCTGTTCCCTACTAACCCAGTTTAACTATAAGTTTGTTGAAACTCCTTAGGCATATATTTTGAGTAATATTGTAAATATTACACATAATCATAAGACATTGCCTTGCATGGGTCTAACGAATGTGTGATACACAGTAACAAAAAATGGTTGGGAAAAAAATAAATAAAATTGTAAATGTACACAATGTCATTGTCACTGTGGTTTTAGCACATTTTGTTTCCCCTGGCAAGCTTTGGCACTTGGGGAACCAGGGAGAGAGGATGAGGTCCTGTAGAGTTGGGTCTGTTTGAAGCCGTCTGTGTTATCAGCAAGGTTGTGGTGTGGCGCGTGCTATTCTTTTCATGAAAATGTGTGTGGGTGCTTGAAGTGAGAGCTGATGGAGAGTCTAGGCAGTGATTGGTAACGCTATTCACAGAAAAACGAAAGTGGGAATGAAATCAGATTTTTTCAAAACAAGTGTTAACATAATAAATGGTGATGATAATGCTCTCATATGAAGAATCTCATGATCCCAGTTGGCAGGGTTGAGAACATGGGGATGTTTCTTGCTGTGGCAGGTTCACAGTGGGAGGAGAATTGTGTTTGAAAATGCTGTTTAAAAAAATGGTGTCAGGACAGAGATGAACAGAACTTCCTAGCAATTTACACAGAAATGCAAAAGACTGCCATCTCTGTTATATTTCTGTGTTTGGCCCTTCACTTAGTGCAGTATGGAGCTATGAGGTAACACTTCACTAAAGTACAAATTAAAAAAAAGAAGCACACTACATGAAACTTGCTTTTGGCCATATCCGTGTTGTTCTTTTTAAGACCTGTTATAAAAGTGTTACGCCTTTATTACCTCCTCTGCGTCATGCTTCGAACCTTCCAGGCAAATTGGTAATGACCAGTAGGGTGGACAGCAGCCTGGTCGCAGAAGCACAGGGCAGAAGCTCAAGGGCTGAACAGGAGCTCACAGGCTACGTTTTCAGTGTTGCAGTATTGTACACTTTACAGTTTAGTTTCTGTTCCTTAACCCCATCTGGGATGTTTGAGAACTGATGTGTAAGTTGATGAACAAGTAGAGGTCCTAATGAGTACTCAGTCGGTAAGATGCACAGCTTTCCCTGGTAGCTCCCTGTGGTGCCTAGGGACCTCCACCTGTGTAATATGCCCCCCAAGAGACGTTCGGTGCTTGATGTTGGTCCAGGACAAGGTTAACTTTCTGCACACTAATTTTAATTCATTATATATGCCTTTTTTTCCCAGCACAAATGGACCCCCGAGGCCTATCTCCCAGACAAAGTAAAAGTGACAGTGATGATGATGACCTGCCAAATGTGACCTTAGATAGCGTTAATGAAACTGGATCTACGGCCCTTTCCATAGCCAGAGCAGTACAAGAGTAAGTATCACATTCTCAGGATGAAATAAGAATTGCCAAGGGGATCAATGGATAATGGGCACTGCAGCATCTCCTGTTCCCCAGACATGTCATCCTAGCTCCGACCTGGCACACCTGTCCACATCTTTCCATTCAGCCTGTCCTCCTTGGGAGAAGATTAGGCCAAAGAACAGAGTGTTTCAAAAGAGCAGAAAATTTGTGTTTTGATTAGACTAAGACCTCTGTGCACCTTTTCTAATTCTCCCTGCACGTTTCTCCTTCACTTTGGGAAAAAAACAAAAAGTTGTCTTTTGAATGTCACTATCTAATTATCATCATCATCATTATTATTCATATACAAAGTCAAGGGAAATCAAATATAGCAAATAGCATTATCTTGTTTTGATAGGAAATTATAGCAGAGCGCTCTTGAAGATGTTGAAAAATGGGACTCCTAGGTAATGATTTCTAAAGGGCTCTTTTATCCTTTCTCTAGGAGCAAAGGGTTAGAGTTCAGGCCTTGTCTGTTGAAAATTGCAGCCCTTCTGTAATTGTCTACCCTGTATGCAAACTGAAGCCCATGCTGGATCATGTGCATTTTTCCCTAGGGTATATTATTTACCTTATTGAGATACAATAACAAAGTAGAATTTTGTATAAAGTTTGCAACATGCTAACTGGATATGCATATATATTATGAACAATCAGGATATACATATATATTAGCACAATCATGATAATTAACACATCCATCACTTCCTGTTAGTGTCTTGATGGGGTTGGGGGTACCCTAAAACATTCATTAATTACCCTTAGTCAATTTCAAGTATACAATATAATATTAGTTCCCATGGTTATCATGTGGCATATTAGATCCTCGGAACTTACTCTTATAACTGAGAGATTGTACCTTTGAGCAGCCTCTCCCCATTCGCTCCACACTCCCAGCCTCCCATAGCCACCAAGCTCTTCCATTTCTATAAGTTCAGTTTTTACTTTTAGATTCCACATAGTAAGCAGTAGCTACAGTAACTGTCTCCCTAAGTGACGCTAATGATGTAATCTCTGAGAAGGACTTAAACAGCCACACTTATTAGTGAATAGTTCATTCAAAATTATCTTCATACCCTCATACTTATTTCCCTAGATATTAGATACCTACTCTTCTCTGTTCAGTAGGCTTTAAAATTTACAAAACAAAAGCAAAAAAGGCATTGGTATGACATTCTAGAATTTGCATTAGAAGTGTATGTTTGTATTGTATAAAATGAGTAATGTTTATATATCTGTAGAGATGATATTGTGTATGTGTACCTTACCTGTGGATAAAACTGTGCATACATAATGCATGTAATATGTTATAGTAAACAGGATAGAGTGGATCTAAAATGAAATATGGAGTCATAAAGATATAGTCAAGTTCACATTCAAGCTCTTCAGGCAAGTGACTTAACGAGAAAACGTCAGTGTTTACTTGAAAAGATTGAGGATTTGATACACATACAAGGAATAAAAAGTAAATCACAAAGCTCTAGCACTTGGAAACCTTTAATTAATGATGGAGTTGTTATTCCTAGTGGTGGCAAACATACTAATAGTGTAGAAGTGCAAGCTATGTGACAGCTAGGAAATACAGATACAGTGAGTGTAATTGGTCTGGTTTTTACAGGTGAAATGGTACAGGATCAAACCAGTAAATGAAGTACCCAAGTCATACATTATATGTAATAACAACACAAAAACACCTTTTACTAAGAATTCTTTTCATATCACTCATCAGCAGTGTTGTCACTCTTGAGCATATAGGAAAATTCTTGGTCCTCTCATCTGTTCAGATCAATGTTTGTGGTCCCTTGGTTTCTCCAAAGCCAATCTGAATTCAAGCCAGGCCTGGCACTAGGTTTCTGGGGTTGCAAGGGTGGGATTTCGATAGTGCTGCTGATTCTCAGGGATTAGCACAGTGACCCTCATTCCATATGAGCCAAGAATCAGCTGGAGGAGTCCATTTATCACCTGCGCAGGTGGACTGAAGGTCAAAGTTCGTTTCTGCAATGAATCATATGAACATTTCAATCAGATTGTTTCCCTGCCTCATTATAATTGATGTGTGTTCATAGATACAAATGTTTCTTTCAAGTCAAATTCTGAAGTTTATACATGCGGGACTAAAATCTAAATGCCACCTACTCCATTAGGGGCTTATACTAGTTTCTTAAACAGACTTCTTTTTTTGCTTTTAACATTTTGTGTTTGGCAGTATTTTTAAATGGGAAATCTTAGTAACAACTTCATGAACTGCAGGTTCTTTTCCAATATAACCTGTCTGATTTTCCCTGTGCACACATGCAATATTTTGAATAAAAGTATCTATGCCTGCATTTATTATTATTACAAAGGTTATATGTATTTCTTGGGCAATGCAAATTCCTTATTCATGGCAGCTTTTTCGTTAAATGATTAGTAAAGAATACACTGAGCTGTCACCTGGGCTGTCCTAGTCTTCCAGGCCCCAATCAGCAGTTAACCAACCATCATTCAGAACTGAGCATGTATGCATAAATGCTAGTAAATACCAAGATTCTGTTTGATGAGGCAAAAAGAGTGTTTTGCAGAGACCTCTTAAATGTTGGTTTCTTTCAAAACTTAAAAAAATGTGTGGGAGAATATTAACTTTCAAAGCCCTTAATTGTAAATATATAATGTTAATTGTAGAATTTTTTAGAAGTCTAAATCAGCTTTAAATGTATGCAGTTGCAAATATTTTCTCTCCTTGGTCTTGCCTTGATGCCTCATTACCTGTCACTGTTTTCCCTTTTTTTCTGACTTTGATGCTCCACTACTCTCCAAAAATAACACAAACATTCCAGTATAATCTGGTCAATAAACTAATGGATAAAATAGAAGAAAGATAAACCAACGTCAGCCTCACATGTAAAAAAAAAATCCAGATGTGTCTGCCAATCTGTGTGCTGTACTACCTGAACTTTCCTGATAGCATCAGGTAAAGGTGGAAAACTGAAGTTTTCTCTATAATATAGAGGGGTAGCACATTTTGAAAGCCCTGGGAAAGTAGATCGCACTTGTCTTTGCAACTAAGGTAAAGGAGAGTCACGTTCTGTGCAGGGCTCAGGTGTTCCCCTCTTCTGTCTTTGGCCACCAGTGGACTGGTGAAGCGAGGGGAAGGGGAAAGTTATGTCAGGTGAGGGGAGTGAAGGAGATTGACAGTGGAGAAGGGTGAAATTGCCTTGTATCAGGCAACGCTTTTGTTCGGATAATCTGACAAGGTACTGTTCCACAGGGTCAGGCTCTCCATCTGCTTTTCTCTATCACTTTCTGCATCACCTTCTGTGTTCAAGTTCACAGTCTCATCACGTGCGATAACCATCATAGCTTGCATTTTCAAGTTGATGCTTTTGTTATCATCAGTGTTCTTATATAGCCTATACCTTAATCTACTGTGTTTCATAAATACCTGATATTATATGCTTTATTGATTTTTAGGATGAACGTGGAGTAAAAAGTCTGAGTGTGAGAGACGTTGCCTTGACTTTGGTATGGAGAAACTGTTAGCCAAAATGCATTTTATTCCTCCAATATTCAGATGTGCCTGTATTTACATGAAAAAGAGCATTGCTTGCTGACTAGTGCAGCAACATGAAGCCTTCTCAGTTTGTAAAGACTTCTGTAGCAAGGCCACATATCTGTGTGCTTGAAGTGATCATCGCAACCATTTTCTTTTCTTTTTTATTATTTTATGACATAGTTTCATAGGCTCTGGGATTCCCCAAGCCCCTCCCCAAATTCTGCCCCCATATTGAATTCCTTCGAATTGTTACAGTGGTACAGATCATATCCAGTCATGATTCCTTCATTGCGGGCATGGACCATGCGGAGAGTCTGGCATCTTATTGTCCAGATAAATTCAACAGTTTCCTTGGAAGACCATCCTGCTCTGAAAGTAGAGCTGGCAGAATATTATTGCACCCAATGAAAAGCCACTACACAACTTCAACAACAGGAAGATTCATGGAAATTAACGACATCATGAAGTTAATTAACATGGTATTGAGTGACCAATATGTCAGAAAATGCAAGTTCTTAACCACATCCTGTAACTACTTCCTTGGAATCTCAGTTTTAGTATATACACAACCAGCTGCTATAAACCTTTTTTTTTCCTCCCAAGCTAACATGTTTTTGAGTTTTACCTGAATCAGAGTGGCACAGGAACAGTGGAAGCATCAACATTAACATGCATTGTATATATAACAGCTGAGTACAAACTTAACATCAATGTTTCTATGCAGTTACATCTTGTTTAGTATTAAGAGTCATAAATTGATAAAGTATTTTGGGGAGAAAATTAAGCCACAATTTAAATTTTGTAGTGTATAATGATTAAGCATGGTTTTACAGAAGTTTGCATTTTAACAATTGAAGAATAGAAAAGTTTTAGGCAAGTGAGCAGGGAAATTCTCAATAACCCAGTGAGTAAAGAAGAAGTTAAGTCTACATCCTAACTACTAAAGTACAGGAGAAACAAATAGGGAGCCTGACCAGTTTTTGTTTTCTTTTGGCTGCATCCCATGTGTTTTGATGTTTTCTATTTCAGTTTTATTTATTCCAAATACTCTCTTTTTTCTCTTGTCGAATTCATTGCTGACTCATTGATTATACGGTGGTATCATTTTTCCCAAGAGTCTTTTGTATGTATTTGATAAAACAACTAAATGATTGATATTCTGGAACACCAATAATCCATGGAAAAGGTTATGCTCTTGTCCCCAGAATTTCCTGATGGATCCTCAAAACTGTGGGTTCCCTGTGGCTCATCTGACCTCGCAAGTGCAGCAACTCCCTTGAATACAATGCTGCCCCTGGAGAAGATGGAACCCCCAGTGGAACTGCCTCTAAGAACTGAAAAGCTGAATTTATTTAATATTCCTCTTGTTCCACTACAGGTCAGGAGTGCAGAGAAATTCTCCACCTTCTTAGAATGTTTGAGGAAGATTTTAAGTGTA